ATAGCATCTGTTAAAGGTTTATTTGCTGTTATATAGAAAGAATACCTTTGGAATGAGGGTAAAGTTGGCCACACACTGGTTGAATTTTGGCCAAGTCAGTAGGACTTGGCCAAAATTCAATCAGTGTATGGACTCTCCTGTTTAACAAAAAGTGATTACACCTAATGGTTACTTACATGAGTTGGTGTTTTATGTCTGGGCAACCTTACAAGCAGTGGTTGCAACCACGATCAGGTTCAAAGGGGCCCATGGGACCAATGATGTGACTTTCTGCTTGACAACTGTGTTTCTACTGGTGGCAGGCTAAGGGCATCTGTTAAAGGTTCAATGCGGCTGTAATTGGGTAAGAATATCTTTAGAATGAGGGTAAAGTTGGCACACACTGGTTGAATGTTGGCCAGGTTGGCAGAACTTGGTCAGCAGTGTATGGCCCCCTTGGGACTCTCCTGTTCAACAAAAGTTGATTTTTCTAAGTTTGTCAAACAGGAGCTGGTTGAACAGTGAGCTGCAGTTACTGTTCAGGTATTCTAACAGTGGCACACCCACTACTGCCAGAATACAATATCCTGGCAGGTGAGGATTCCCCCACCCATACTAAGCGGGGAGGCTGAAGTAGAAAAAAACTTTCAGTGGATGGCAACCCTTACAGTAGTTCATATGGAAGATGGGTGATTCTAAAAGAATGGAGGTGGGGGGGAGGGCATTTTTGAGGCTTTTCTACATCTTGCAGGTCTATTTGGCATGTGTATGAAGCATATATAAGAGCCAATGTGGCAATCTAGGCATAAAGTACATGTTGGCTCTTGCTAGGTCATGTGTGTATCACTGAGATTCTACAGCTGGCCAAATCTGATTTACAGCTTGTGTACAATATCCAAATGATTTACCAAAACTGTGTAATGTAAGTCCATTGCTGTCCATAATGGGTGGTAGAGCCAAATGAGATTTTGGCTCTGCAATTGGATTGCAACATGCCATGGCAAACTGTGGTGGACAGTCTGGTACTGAGTTGAGTGGCTTCCCCTATGTCCTGGAAACACAGGGGCCACTTGCAGCAGCCATTCACAGACCTCCTAGTATTTGTATAATTGAACATAGGGTGTTCCATGATTCGTAGAGGGGTGGTAAGGTCATGATCTGCCCCATACATTTTATGTATATTTATATTACGCCAGCTTGGCCCAATATAAGTGGCGTTCAGCTTAATGCTAAAGAACCCGTATTGTTCCTAAGGCTAAAAGTTACTAACAATCCTCTGTCAGTCAAGATCATGGCCTGTCTTCTAGCAATCGGCATGTAGAAAAATCTAGCTTGACACATACTGTGTCTTGGCTTCCTCCAAGTTATTTGGACAGAACTCTTGTGCAACAACATTCGAAATGCCCCCCAGAAAAGCGCAAATTGACAACATCTATTCTTACCGGTGGGGCATTACGGAGATTTCATTCCTTTTTGGCTTAATTGTTGTTGTCTTCTCCTGTGCTTGATCTCTGTAAATGAAAAGAAACTGGATTACCTTCAATAATAAATGAATAGGCTTCTTCCTTGATAGATAATTGACCTTTTATAACAGCCCAGAAGACCAGAATCAAATGCAATTAATTGTCTCATGTTTTCCAATTGATATTTGAGGTCTATTCCCTCTGGAGTCAGTCGGTGATATGGTAGAACCCCAACCCCAACCCACAAGGGCTGTTTATAGTTTTTATTTGTTACTTCCTGATCCCAAAGGCATTTAGATACTCACTATATCAACATTCTACAATGTTATTACTTGTTAGACATGTGCGATTCAGTTAGTTCCGAATCAAAATTCATACAAATTTTTGGACACATCCGAATTTCTGAATCCCAATGCATCCGAATGCGTCCGAATCCCCATTTCTGAATTTCAGATCCTATCCGATTTTCGTTCAAAAACAAAATTGAATCAGACATGTGACTTTTCTGGCCAATTTTTGGTTTTCGGTATAATCCACCCAAATGGGTCTGAGTACGATGCATCCCTACAGTATATACATATATTACTAAAGCTGAGGCTCCTAGACCCGAATGGCATTCGGGATCCGAATTTCCGCATGGCATTTGGGAGCTCTCGAATGCCATTCTGGTCTGGGGGCCTCAGCTTTAGTAATATATGTATATGGCTCCCAGACCCAAATGGAATTCGGGATCCGAATTTCCAAAATGCATTTGGGAGCTCCCAAATGCCATTCGGGTCTGGGATCCATATACATATATTACTAATATACAGTATGTATATGGCTCCCAGACCCGAATGACATTCGGTAGCTCCTGAATACAATTCAGAGATTTGGATCCCGAATGCCATTCGGGTCTGGTAGATTCAGCCTTAGTATTATTATCTTTATATGATTTTATGTGGTAGTCGTAACGAATATCCGTTCGTAAACTTATCTGAAAATAACGGAAATTCAGATTTCGTCCGAATCCAAAACCCAAACCGAATTGAATTTCGGATCTGAATGCCGAATGCTTAAAAAACTAAATATCTGAACCCAACCAAATTTCTCCGCAGCTTACATGTCTATTTCTTAACATTATTATTAGCTGTTTATAGTTCATGCATAAAAAACACATCCAGCTCTTTTTTGGAGCAGTCTGCAGACCTCCATACAACCAATTCCTGTCGAAAAATAGTAGTTCCTGCTAGTCTCTAGTGATGACCTTAAACTGAAGGACTTTTCACTTAGTGTACCATCCTCAAAAGAGCTTACAATGTAATGTCCATGACACAGGGCTAGTGTGGGAGGATAGCAGTAGATATACTGTACCTGTATATTTGAAACCAAAAGAAAAATGGGAAGAATATACAAACTCCATACAGATGGTGTCCTTGTGGAACTCAGACTTTGAAAGCTCATTCACACCAGTGCGGTTGCGGATCAGCACGGTTACCAAGGGGAGGTTTTGGGAGTTTTTAATTGCATTTCAACGCCTGATCAGCGCGGTTCCATAGAAAGCTGTATGAAAACGGCACTGATCAGCACGGCAAAAAAAGGCAGGGTGCAGTTCGGACGGGGGGCGGTTCGGATCGTGCGGACCCGTGCAGTAGCATGAACGGTCTGCCATAGCAATGTATGGGATTGTTCATGTCGGCAGATCCGTGCGGCCGAACCGCCCCGGAGTGAACGGGGTCTAAATCCATGTACTGCCAGGCAAGAGTTAGCAAAGTTCAAATACTGTTTTGAATAATATACCAGCTCTACTGGATAGAACAAAAAAAAAGTAAATGTACTAACATTTGCCATATTATAGTTTATTATGTTGATTTTGTGTTTTCCCTTTTTCCTTTAGTGGTAATGGGGCATAGTGTAGGGAAGCAGATTTTTCTTGCTCTGATCTCAGTGCTTGATTTTGGCATTGTAACTGCTTGTCATCAGCATTGGCCATTGGCACACAGACTCCCAGTGCAGGATTAGCATATGATTTAACTATTGTTAGGGCTTATTTTTGTTTTAGTTTTGGCTATGATCAAGGTCCCTTGGTGGACTGAAACATGTCAGCTGCTTTTATGCTTTTTCAATAAAGAGATGCCATTACAAGGATTCCTACGAGTGCCAGCTCTTTACCACTTCATTTTGTTGAATGGGTCCAGCAGAGACTGCCATGGAGCATTGGGTCTGAGAAGGTAGAGCGGCTTTATTTTTGCATTCCAGTGTTAGGGCTTGGGTAATGTTTAGGGGTTAGATAAAGTGTTATGGTTGGGGGTGTTGAGTGTTTGAGAATGGGGGCCCAAAGAATGTCTGTGTATTCGGAGTTAGGATGCACTCCAGGCGGCAAGCACAAGTTGTATTGCCCTGCTCTAACCATGGAGGAGCAGTACATTTAGCTTGCTCTTGAAAATGGGGGTGTTAAGTACTAAGATCTTTTTTTCCTGGTTAAGTTAAGTTAAGTAAGTTGACTTTGCTAATGAATAGACCGTGTTTCCCCCAAAAATAAGACCTACCCCAAAAGTGAGACCTAGCACTATTTTCAAGATTCCTGTAATATAAGACCTACCCCGAAAATAAGACCTAGTTTGGTGGTAGCATCTGAGGGGGAACTTGAAGAGCAGGAGACATGGTATCAGCCTGCAGGGACACACTGTATTAAGGGGATGGCAGGGGACATCCTCCGGCCAGCGCAGTGACAGGGAGCACTCCAGTACCATACTTCACCAACTACTGTCCCCCTGAAGGCACTGCTTATGTAATGGTACTGTACTGTAATGTGTACCGGTAAATAGTACCGTACTTTACCGCGATGTCCACTGTTTGATGTCCCCACTGCTGCACCGCTGTCTCTGATGGCAAAGGAAGCCGGCATTGTAGAAAGCAAGGCTGCGGCGGCGGAGGGAGCAGAGCCGCATTAGCCGATACTTCCTCTATAGCGCCGGTTACTGTGACAGGCGGAGTGATACCAGATAACTTTGGATTGTTGTACATTTTGTTGCACATTAAAAAAAAAAGACATCCCCCTGAAAATAAGACCGCGTGTATTTTTGGAAGGCAAAAAAATATAAGACAGTGTCTTATTTTGGGGGAAACACGGTATATGTATAAGAGGGAAAGTTCGAAGAACAATGGGGGGGAGGGGGGGGAGGATTTATCAAAACTGGAGCAGGCAAAATCTGGAGCAGATTTGCACTGCAACCCATAACCCTTTCATTTTCAAATCTTCCCTGAGCAAACTGAAGAGAGATGCTGATTGGTTGCCATGGGCACTGCTCCAGATTCTGTTTGCTCCAGCTTTGAGAAATTCCCCCCAATGCATTTAACCTATAGCCCGTAAAAAAAGGATTTCTGAGTGGCTGCTTTGAGTTGCTGCATGTTTCTCCTGCTGATATAGGGTTACATTCAGTTTTGAATTATTTTTTTCTGGTGGCCCCTGTCAATGTTGGCCGATATTTTTTTTTGCTTTCGATAATGTTTGACAGTTTGGAATCTAAAATGTAAGTTTCGTAATATGACAGTTTCTCCTATGTGGTTTTTCTACAGTACGGCCGGTCAGATAGTTATCGCGTGGCTACCACGCAAGATAATAAAGACGACGAAACGCCCCAAAAGTCGAAGGGGCCGACGAAGAAAGAGATGGATGACCTAAAGAAGGAAGTGTCTATGGTAAGAGATCTATCTATCTATCTATCTATCTATCTATCTATCTATCTATCTATCTATCTATCTATCTATCTATCTCCCTCTCTCTCTCTCTATTTGTCTATCTATCTGTCTATCTATCTATCTATCTATCTATCTATCTATATCCCAGGTTGAACCAGGTGATGGGGGGTGATAGTGAAATTCCAAGTTGATCCGGGTGATAAGGGGGGTAGTGATCTGGCAGGTTGACCCGGATGATAAGGGGACGGTGTTAGTGATCAGGCAGGTTGACCCAGGTGATAAGTGGGGTGTTAGTTCTCTCTCTCTCTCTCTCACACACTCTCACATCCCAGGAGCCAAGTAGCCAATGCTCCTTAAAAGGTACAGCTAGGGCCTATCTTTTGAGGTTTTCTCTAGTTGCTAGTGGAGCTGGGTCCTTAAAAAAACTGGATTGGAGAGACTGGCTCCAGAATTCCATATTAATTTGTCACCCCAGATCGAGCTGTCTTTCTATCTATGTAGTTAATATGTGTGGTTGGTTTCAAGCTAAATTACATTTTGGTTCCTCTAGTTATCAGGGACGCCGGAGGTGAATTATCATCTCTAGATTTCCCAGAGCTGTCCGGATCCTGTAGCTATTTCACTGCCAACTGGTTTCATGCCATCTGGTGGATTGTCCCTAATGTAGAACTTTCATGATAATTGTTTGGTGTACCATGGCTACACTACTGTTTCCTGAAGGTACCCTATCAGTAGGGAATTCAAACAGCAGCAGCCTGCAAAAATAGATTACTTATACTTACCTCCCTGGCGGGCTGGACTCCAGTATTTGCTCTTGAAACACTACAGCTAACACTTTTATTTACGTTGGATGCCTGGTCCCTCAATGCGTGCTGTGGTTCCTTCCTCCAGACGCTGCATCACTACTGTGTCCTTTACTGATATGGGGGCCTTAGGGTAGAACCATAGAGAACTTTGGGGGACCAGGCATCCAGCATACATGAAAGTGTCAGTTTCCAGCGGTAAAGATAGAAGTCACCAGCACTCACTTGTAATGTGCAAAAAGGATAGCACTTTTATTGATACGTCACATGCGCCAAGAAGCCAAGTTTCCAGCGGTAGTCGTAGTGCTGCAAGAGAGCAAAGCCTGGAGTCACCACTAGGCTTTCCACTTGGCCAGTATTTTGCAGACCTGGCCAGTGGCCCAAAAATGGGGCTTATATCCAATGTTATCCTGTCTACTCATGATGTGGCTGCTTTCTAAAGAAAAAACAAACTATGACACATTTTCCATTGATCCACATAAAATGTATTTGGAAGATTTAAATTAAAAGTTCAGTTGGGCTTTAAGGTTGCGCTTACAGGCTCATGCACTTCATTCTATCATATGGTTCTCAGGTGGGATTATAATGGAGTAATTTAGACTTTTTAAGTGCATGGCCAAATTTCAGAATAATCAGCATGGACATATAGTTTTGACACCAGAAGCCACAAGACTTTCTTTTAATTTTTGGATTGACATCAGCTTACTTACCAGCTTTCTAGAGGTTACAAAGGTATCTCATTCAGTGTGGCTTTGCTGTACCTTCGGGGCCATCAAGAGCCAGGCGTGCAGTTGATTTGGTAACAATTTTCTCGGTAGAACTGAGACCCTCTGCTCCTAACTAAGGATGGGCTCGGGCGTGCTCGCAGCTCCACGTGCCGAGCCCGCCAGGAAGCTGACAGCACCAATCACAGGCACTGAGACATTTCCCGATATCTGCAGCTGCGGACCCGGAAAATGCCTCATTACCTGTGATTAGCGCTGCGGTTGTCAGCTTCCTGGCGGGCTCGGCACGTGGAGCTGCGAACACGCCTGAGCCCATCCTTACTCCTAACCATTGCTACCAGTCTTTTGTGTGCTGACCCTCTCCATCAATACTTATTCTGCTCAGCTGAGTAGTGGTTTAGCATTGCTGTGTTTAGTTGTCATTATTTAATGAAACACAGAATCCAGAAGCCTCAAATGACAGCAGGATCCTTCCGAGGGAATGTGGAGTGTCACTAGACAGCATATGAGTGGTAAACTAAGCCAACACCCTGGCAAGTGGAGACTTGACTAGTGGTCATTTGTCTCATGCTTCTTGCTGATTGGGGAGCTCTACCACTGACTCAGCAGGTACCATGACAAACCTCTACAGAGAGTTTGCTGCTTCCACACAGAAAACAAGGGACTTTCTCTACAGCTTGCTGGCAAGGGAACGGCTTTTCTATTCAGGTTGTAGTTGCTTTCTAAAGAACTCAAACTGTAAAGCTGGCCATGTACCTATTGGTTATCTGCAGATTTTCTATGGTCAGATGGAGGAATCTTCCACTGGGCCAAGCTTCAGTATCATGCTAGTCGGCCCCGCTGGCTCTCAAAATATCTAAACAATCTGATTGAAGGCAGGCATTGTTCAGGTATTTTGAGAAGAAGATTTCCTCTGACCGGCAGTGCTGTGGGGAACATAGAGCCGGCTTCCCGCGCAATCGGGAAGTCGGGCAGCGAGTAATGACCCGCCTCCCCGCTTCCTAATAGGCCGGGAAGCCGGCTCCATGCTGATTGGCTGGGAAACTGGCTTCCCGGCCAATCAGCACCAAGCCGGCCAAACAGCCAGAAGCACCGGCATCGGTACTCGCTATCAGCGAGTACCGACAGCAGAATATCGGTACTCAGTCTCGATACTGAAAAACCGGTATCGGTGTATCCCTAGCAAAAAGCATTTTATTTTCCCGTGTGTGTGCGCGCGCGCGTCCATGTGGCATTATTTATGTGAGCATGTTACAAACTCTTTCCAAATCCATTCTTTGTCTTTGACCTCAGACAGAGCACAAGATGTCAGTGGAAGAGGTGTGCCGGAAATACAACACAGACTGCGTGCAGGTGATTCTACTTCATATATTTTGTATTATTAACCTGGCATAGTTTTCAATATTATTATTTCATTGCCTGGGACACTTCACTCTTCAATAGGTGAATCTAAGTACAGGTGAATCTCAGTAAAGTTGACTGAACATGTGGCATTCTGATTGTACATTTCCACTTCAGATCAAGTAGAAATTGAAAAGATTGTTTAGGTAGGTTCTCCCATTGCATAGTCTTGGAGATTGTACACAAAATGTGCAATCAGATTCTTAGGTGTATGGCCAGCTTAAAGCAAACATGTACTTTGCCCAAAAACAATAGGTTTGCTTTAACCCCCATTGGCATTTGGGGCTTTAACCCCGATTGGTATTACTGTGTACCTCCAGTGCTGCGTTCAGTGCTTGGAGCCAAAGGAGATACTTCATGGCAGAGTTGTATTGATCATTAGCCATATGGTTATAGGTCCAGAATGAAGGGGCAGCTTTTCCTTGGATAATCATTGGCCCTGCATAGTTTTCCATCATCAGTAGAAATAATAATCTTATATAAAGGTATTTACACATAACTTTAGAGTTCTAAAGAAAATGTCCCATTTTAAAGGGGTCACCCTAAGAGAGGGATGTTATTTAGGGCACAAACAGTTGTGTGCCTACAGCCTCCAATGAATAAAATCCAATCTCGTCTCTGGCTTGGTCATTTGATTGGCCATGTGGCAGTGTGGACAAAGGTGAACATGAGGTGCTGGATACAGTTTTTAAGAAGGTCAATTGAATTATTACTGGGCAAACCATCATATTAGCAATCATATACCGGTTGGTAAATTTCAACATGAAAAGCTCTGAGACCAAAAACTAGATAGCGATTGAAACTTGAGCTATGGTCAGAACCAAATATCAGACCAAGAATGTCCTTAGAAATCAAGGGGGCATTTGTGGGGACTCTTGAGTACAAGGGCAGCAATGTGGCTCAGTGGTTCACACTTCTTCCTTGCAGCATTAGGATCCTTGGTTCAAGCCCCAACCAATACATTACCGGCATGGACTTTTTTCCAAAGACATGGTAATTTTTCCACCAAGAAATAGAAGCTGGTTCTTGGTGCCATTTAAATGCCTGAAATAAACAGAGTTTATGTTCTTCTTTCATCATGTTTATCTGAAATGTTCCCTAACAGTTACTTGTCCTCTGGCTTTAGGGATTGACACTCAGCAAAGCAGCAGAGGTTCTGGCCCGGGATGGACCCAACGCTCTGACTCCTCCTCCAACCACACCCGAGTGGATCAAGTTCTGCCGCCAGCTCTTTGGAGGTTTCTCCATCCTGCTGTGGATCGGGGCTATCCTCTGCTTTCTGGCCTATGGCATCCAGGCGGGTACGGAGGATGACCCCGCAAACGACAATGTGAGCACATCTGTTATTCTCTCCATGATGGTTACGAGCTTTCATTTATGTGTATGTAAAGGCAAAATTGTTTTTGGTTTGGATAGAAAGGGCAAGGATTAGACACTGTGTTGGGTTGCTGTCTGTGTCATTGAAGGGAAGACTCTCCCCTCTGTTGGTCGTTTTGACCATTGTTACCGAAACAGAAAATGAGAAGAAATCCTGTCACAGGAACAAAAGGTGAGGGTAAAACTTCCATTTTGGACGCTGTTCCGGTGACAACTGTCTAAGGGGGAATACTCCTCATTTTGGGAGATTTCTGCTTACTTCTGGTTGCATCTCTGGTTCAGGAAGTGAAGTGAAATCTCTCTAAAGGGACACAGACATGAAAACATAAACTGACAGGTGTTGTAACCCTTATTTAAAGTTGAATTATGGCCTCCCTCAAAATTATGTGCTGTAACAGTCAATGATAAGTACATCTGCACTTACAGTTTTCTCTCAGCCCCCAGTTACCTGTTGATCCCGCCGGTGAAGTCCACCCAATGCAGCTTCTTGTGATGGTGTAGCAACAATGCTGCACTGCTCCTGAGTTCAAAGCAGAGTTGCCACTCTCCTGTAGGCTATGCTTTGCTTGCATTACAGTGGGATTAAAAACATTGTGCGGGGTTTTGGTGTTTTTTAAGGTTGTGGTGGGTAAAATGTGTACTACCCCCACACTGCACAGAATGAGTGCGTGTTTTGGTCTTGGACGGAAAATAAAAAAGGTTATACTGACCTGATCCTTCAACTCAGCTTGCTGTTAGATCGGTCCTTCCAGCCTCTCTCCCCCTCCGCTGCAGTGGTCTAAGGTCCGCGAGTCATCACATTCTATACACAGTGTATAGGAGACACTGAGGGACGTACCATAGCTGATTGTGCCCAGAATTCTTCTTTAAATGGCTCCTTTGGGTCCTTTCAACTATCCTGAACTTTCCTTTGTATTGAAAAAGGCCTCACATTCACCTCATTATTTTACAGGAATTTTTTTTTACAGTGAATAAAGTAACTAAAAAAATGTAAAGCAATACAAACACAAAAAGGATAAATACACCATAACAAAGAACTCTAAATTAAATGGACTGTCCTAAACACACACACGCACACACACACACCCCTCGTAGAAACAAAACCCTCTAAATAAAAAAAAAATTAAATTGACTTTTTATATAAGTAGGTTTTACCTAAGCAGCTCAATGGATGAATTTGACAGCTTTGTCTTGCCAAAAATTTTAATATTGCTCCAAAATCAATCAACGCATTCGTAGTCATTAAGTTAAAATCTCAAATTTCTGAGGTCTCCATTACGCGTTCTAAGAATACCACATTAGATATCTCATAGTAGTGATGTAAAGTATTCAGCTGCTTTGGATTTCATTGCAGCTTTTTTTTACCCAGTTTAGAAAGACTGAGATTCTATACAGCCAATCAGAAACAACTAGGACAGTATGTCTGCCTCTCGTTGGTCACTCAACATTTTGGCAGCCTGCCTGACCTCTATTGAGCTGGTAACAGAGGCTTCTGCTCGTTCTCTAATCTCCTGTCCTGGCTCTGCTCACTCGTTCCGAGAGGAATTATTTTAGGTAGTGGAAATATGTAAACACCTGTCCCTGGACATCCAATATTAATGACTGGCTTTAATGGTGATTGAATGGGCAACGTAAACCTGGTGATGGACAACGCACATTTGTCCTTGTATATTTTAGCAGTAAGACAGAACAGATGGGGAACAGTTTACATTTTCATCTGGTTGTTTTTTACATTTTTGGGCCCCATTATGGCTTAATGTTCCTGGTAGAGAATTGGGTTACTGTGGCTGTATTTACTTACATGCTTTAGAAATGTTCTGAGAACAGAAATACGTTGCTGCCGTTGTTGACTTCTTTTAAAGGGACACTGTCACTTTGCCCGTTTAGGGTGTTTGTGAAAAGGTCCCCTAAAAATCCATCGACACTCACTTCTCCAGGGATTACCCCCACCGCTCCTTTCTCCTTCACAGCCGCTGGCACCAAAATACGCAAAATTAGCCCAGAAAGAGCGATGATTTGCCCCCATTTTCATGTTTCAGTGTTCGGGCCCAGTGATTGGCCACTAGACCTCAGCGTTGTCACATGGGGATAGGTGTGAAGATAGGTTACCAGCATTTCAAAATGCAGAGAAAATATTGTTTATTGCAAATAACGTCACATAGGTCAAAACAGTCAAGGTTTCGGGGTCACACAGGGTTCTTTCCTCAAGGTGATGCAGTGTCACTGTGTTGCCTATATTCACATGTCTGATGTGCTGTACAGTCCGTGGCGATCACTATAAGCACCTGTTTTATCTACACTGGTCACAAGGCTGTATGGTGTGCAGCGTGCACTTTCAACAATACATGGGGAATAGGTCACATGCTCCCCCATACCCATAATCATTGAGTATTTTGGCATGGTTAAGGTAGAGGAAGGAGCAGTGGGGAATGGTTTGGAGAGGTGAGAATCTGTGGGTCAGAAGGGACCTATTCCAGGACATTGTCACTTTGCCCTGAATGAGTGTTCAGTAGGGCTGAGGTCAGGGCTTCGTGCAGGCCACTGGAGTTCCTCCACAAAAAACTCATCAAGCCATCTCCAGCCTTACGCTCACAAGCATATGATTTGGCCCGTGACATACTGACCATCACTAAGATACCTGTAATTTGTAAGTCAAATGATAAATCTGACTTGACCCGTTGAACACCTTTGATACATTTCATGTGATATGTATATGTATATAAGTAAACTGAGTCTCAAGGATGATGATGTATAAAGCATATCCCCATTTTGTCATTTCTATTTCAGCTGTACTTGGGTATCGTGTTGGCTGCAGTCGTCATCATCACCGGCTGCTTCTCTTACTATCAGGAGGCAAAGAGCTCGAAGATCATGGAATCCTTCAAAAATATGGTGCCCCAGGTGAGTACGGTGGGATCTGCGTAGTCACATTCCGTCATTAGCTCATGCTTTGTGCCCTTCCACATCTACATGCTTGCAGTACATTCATTTCTCTTTAATATTTCATAACATGTATTTTATAGATTTTGAGTGTTGGAAAGAAAGGCATTTCGTATGCACTTCAGGCTTGTACAGCTGATTTCCGCCATACATCGGCTGCCTTTGGCTGCACTTCGGTCAAGCACTTCGGTTAGCTGAAGTGCAGAAGAACTTTGGCTCAGCCGATCCAACATCTGGATCGGCTGAGCCGAAGCTCTGGCAGCTCACTAGCTGCCGTTCGCCCCAATTCATAGAGGGGCTGAACGGCAGTGAGTGAATCGGCTCGGCTTTTTTACTCGGTACCTCCGTAGTACCGAGCAGAATAGCAAATCAATGAAAAGAGTAAAACAAAAAATAAAGTTGCAAAAATATTTTTTTAAATGTAAATAAATGTTAAATCTAAAAAAAAAAATGAAGATTTTTTAAAAAATTAAAAATAAATAAAAACAAAACAATTGGGTAGAGCTAGCAGTGACAGCTAGCTCTGCCCAACTGTTTCCTATTTGCTGGCACGTGCTAGAGTCTTCTAGCAAGTCCCAGCCAATGAATAACAACTGGGTGGAGCTGGCCATGATGTCACGGCCGTCTCTGCCCAGTTGTCATTGTTTAATGACAGTTCAGCATCCCCAGGTCATTTGGGGACGCTGATCTGTCATTACAACTGGGCGGAGCCAGCTGTCATTTGCAAGGTCTTCGGCCGGCCGTTTGCCCTGCTCTGGCTGTCACTTCGGCTCAGTCGAGCCGAAGCATATGCCTTTGGCTTGGCTGAGCCACTTGGCCGCCTTCGGGAGCTGTACGGGCTATTGTGTCTTGTACCAGTCTTGCCACTCTCCGTTCTGCCCTAACATTGACTAGTCGCTAACGGCCACAATTCGCACATTCAGACCCAGATTTTCGGGTGACAGTCCAGTCTTTAAACACTTTAACAATTAGCCCCTCTTGAACATTTAACGAATTCTGCTGTTTTGCTGATACTCGCTCCATGGCTCGCACCAACAATCATCCCACGTTTAATGGCTGTTAAATCGCGTTGTTTACCCGTATCTTCAGAAAAAAAAATCACTTCTACTGTCGTGGTAAACAACCTGATTCCCTATTTATAATGGTCTGGCCCTCTAGCAACTTCAGCGCCAAATTATAGCTAATTTGCCTACAAACGTCAGGTGGTCATAATAAACTGGCCACTCAGTGTATATTAGGAAAATTAGAAGTGATTTTGGATGGGATGTTTACATTTGGACATGCTTGCCCTTCCATATTTTTGTTATTATATTAAATGAAGAAATGCATAAATTATCCACTAGAGGGAGCTCTGTATTTTAGTTATCTCAGTCAAACTTTCTGCCTAACACCTGATCAGATAAGATATCAGCCATGGGTATATATCATAATTGATTTTATGAGGTGGGGCTACCCATGCAACCTGTCAATCTTCTCTTGCTCACCCTTCTATTATGCTGTATCCATGTGTATCTCTAATGGAACTTTATGGTACCTTTTAGTCTCTCCTGTTTCAGCATTTTTGCACTGTCCCTGCCTTTTCTTGTAGTTGTGTACTTCCATTGTTGCAATACTGTTGCTATGTATTATTTGTGAAATTCCCTTTTGAAATAAAGAATGTAGAACAAAGATGTCAGCCACACAGGGAGAGCATTATCTTTAATGACTCGAATGACACATTGCATTGTGAGAAGGATCAGCAAAGCATTGTGTAGTGCTGTTAAGCGGGATGCACAGCCTCCCTATGTAATGAGGAAATATGACTGCACCAATGTACATGTATCATTTATATATACATGGCAAGTATGATTATTTTTTTTGAATAAAGAGCACACATTGATGAGATTACTTTAACTGAGCTGATACTGTATATTTTACATGTATGTCTAAAAAAATATTTATGAAACTCTGTCACTATGTTAAAAATAAAAAAAATGCCATGCCATCGAACTCTGCTGCATTGAAGATCCAAGCTTGCTTGCTGAAGTATGTTCAGCATTCGACACTTCCAGGAGTGTCAGATACCATCACCCTTTCCCCCTGCACTCTGTAGTTTCCTCCATTGGTCTCTATGTCGCTGCAGGATACAGTAGTGACCCAGGGGCCAGTAGAAGTTAGCACAACGCACATAATCATTGATTATTGTCTAAGCTGGTCCTAGTGTGTGGCTCTAAAAATCCCAATTGTGGAGCCTCCTATAGCAGACCACAGTAACACTCTGTTGAATGGCTAATGCACCTTGGGCATGGAGCCACAGAAAAATGATAGAAGTGTGCTAAAGATAGCAATGCAGGCGATAGGGATTGATATATCATGGGGGCCTGCAGCCAAAGCTTTTATAGTTGGACATTGCAGTGGCTTAGTGGTAATACTTCTGCCTTGCAGCTCTGGGGGTCCCTGGATCAAATCCAGGTCGAGGCACCAGCTGCATGTAATGCTTTTGTGTGTTTCCTCCCAGGCTCACACACTCACACAGGGCTGACTGTGGCTACCTGTTTTATCGTTAGACATTACAGTGGCTTAGTGGTTATCACTTCTGCCTTGCAGCACTGGGGACCTTGGTTAAAATCCCAACCAGGACACCATTTGTATGGAGTGCTTTTGTGTGTTTCCTCCCACACTCACACAGGGGTGACTGCAGCTACCTATTTTATACATAGACATCTATGTATAAAATAGGTAGCTGCTGTCACCCCTGTGTGAGTGTGGGAGGAAACACACAAAAGCACTCCATACAAATGGTGACATGCAAGCTCCTTGCAGAGAGCATCCTGATTAGGATTCAAGCCAAGGACCCCCAGTGTTACAAGGCAGAAGTGTTAACCACTTAGCCACTGTGCTGTAGACATGGAAGTTAGGAAGCTATGGAAGCTATAGTCAAATTTGGTTCAGATATTTCGGGATTCAGGATTCAGATCCGAAATTCAGTACGGGTTTCGGATTCGGACGAAATCCCAATTTACCTTAGTTTCGGTTGAATTTACGAATATTCGTTGCGAATACCACAGAAAACCATATACAGATATTAATACTAAAACCGAATCTCCTAGACCCGAATGGCATTCTGGATCCAAATTTCTGAATTGCATTTGGGAGCTCCCAAATGCCATTCAGGTCTGGGGGCCATATACATATATTACTAAAGCTGAGGCTCCCAGACCCGAATAGCTCCCATGTTCCCGTAACGAAAATTCATATTCAGACCAATTCGGATGCATTATACTGAAAAACACATCTGATTGGCCAGAAAAGTCACATGTCAGATTCAATTTAGTTTTTGAACGAAATTCGGACACGGAAATTCGGATTCGGACGCATTCGGATACATTGGGATTCGGAAATTCAGATGTGTCCGGAATTTGGATTTTGAACGAAACGAATTGCACATCTCTACTGTGCTCTATACATATATATTCATCAATACTGGCCGTTTTGCACGTACTGATATACTGTATATGAATGCGGACTTGTGAATTGCAGTTTAGGGATGCACAGATACCGGTATTTCGGTACCGAGTACAAGTACTGATATTTTTTTTCAGTAGTCGCCGATACCGAGTACCGGAAGTCCCATTCAGGAAGCCAGGCGGCGTGTAAAGACTCGCCACCCGGCTTCCCGATTAGCAGGGAAGTCGTCCCCATGCATCTTGTCACTATGTGTCGAGAGATCATGGAGCTGGCTTGCTGGCCAATCATGGAAGCCGTGCGCCGTGCAATGACATGGCGCCCAGCTTCCTGATTGGCCTGAAACCGACTCCATGCTCCCTCGTCATGAGGTGACCAGGGAGCATGAAGCCGGCTAACCGGCCAATCAGAAAGTCGGGCGCTGTGTCATTACACAGCGCCTGGCTTCCTGATTGGCCAGCTTCCCAACCAAACAGGAAACTGGGCAGCGGCGTCATTACACGCTGCCCGGCTTCCTGATACAGGGAGTATCTGGCTAGGCATCGGAGCATTTGGGCAAGTACGAGTACTCGCCCGAATACTCGGTATCGGCACTAATACCGATGCTAGTATCGGTGCATTCCTATTGCAGTTAGTATTATGATCTACACATGGCTGAAAATAAATACCTTTATGCCTGTGTTAGGGATTTGTGAATGGAGTCCTAATGTCTTTTCTTTGCTTTTCGACCATTGTGGGGTTTTTTCACTATTACCTTCATTCCTTTTTCACTACCAGCAAGCTTTAATCATCCGAGAAGGAGAGAAGATGCAGGTGAACGCGGAGGAGGTGGTGGTGGGTGACCTGGTGGAGATTAAAGGTGGAGACAGAGTCCCTGCTGACCTAAGGATCATCTCTGCTCATGGATGCAAAGTAAGTTTTGGATGTTTCTTTTGGTCAGAGGCGGGCTATTGTTTTAGTTTTCTTTCATTGTGACATATTTTGAGTAATTGTAATCTGTACATTATTTATGTCGCCGTTTCACTGCTGCCTTGGCAACGATCGAGATTCTGCAGCGTTTTGGCCAGCGATGGAGCAATCCCCATAAGGCCTGATTCACACGAGAAAAAGCCGGCACGTACAGCTCCGTGTCGCGTGCGCGGCCCTAACAGGCAGCTCCCGGGAAGGACAGGTGCTGTGTGTGATTATTACGCAGCCCCTGTCCTTCTCTATGGGACTGCGCGGCCGTAAACCGCCCTATGCTCACATGGATCCTGTCTGCGTCTGAGCCGGTACACCCGCACTCGTACGGAGCTGCACTTGGTGTGAGCGTACGGCCGCACACTCCCATAGAGAAGGACAGGGGCTGCGTACTAATCACACGCAGCACCTGTCCTTCCTGGGAGCTGCTCGATACGGCCGTGCACGCAGCACAGAGCTGTATGTGCCGGCTTTTTCACGTGTAAATGAGGCCTTACATAGAATGGCAGCTACAACTTAGTGATTCTAGCACCATATTCCAGTTTGGGTAGAAGCTGATTAACCCACAATTGCATGTTCAAGATTAGTTGGTGGAGACTCACATACATAGGAAATATAGGCAAACTCCATGCTTCTATATAGTACATACATACATACATTACCTATCAGCAGTTCCAGGCTCCTTTCGGCTGCAGGTCGCGTGCTTCACGGGGATGTTCCGGCAAATCTAGACTGCTAAAGAGCCTGGAGCTGCTTTGCTTCAGGCTCAGAGTCCTCAGAAACACAGAGCCCTCAATCTCTTTTTCTGCAGCCCCAGTTATCAATGAACAGGAATCCTCTATACTGAGTGTTCCTGTTCATTCATAACATGAGGACATTGTGTGTTTACTATAACCACAATCATGAATGAACAGGAAGTGGCGTAGACCACTTCCCTTTCATTCATAATTGAGGATATAGTTAACATACCATGTCCTCAATTATTTACAAACACTCAGCGGTCACTGACCACTGATTGCTTGTACCTGCTCTCCTTCCTGGCATGCTGTTACAGAAGTCTGAGCGAGCGGTGCAGGGAGGAATGCTCAGCCTCCTGTGACAGCGCTGGCTGTCTCCGCCCACACTGCCGCTCTGCCAGACTGTGACAGGAGGCTGAGCGGTGTGGGAGGAGAGACGCCCGGCCGCTCACAGCGCTCTCCTCTCGTAGCGCTCGGCCGCCTGTGACACTTTCTCTCCTCCCACAGAGCACACAGAGCAGCATCCAGGGGGGGAGGAAAGAAAGCAGGGATGCGCCACTGTATCGGCAGAAAAATGGCACTTTCGGCATTTAGCCAAAAGTGCCATTCTCAGCCGATATGTTTCAGTGGCCGATATATCGGTGCATCCCTAGTATTTTTCTTGAAGACCTTTCGGCGGTCATCTGACTAGCTTTCTCAATTCATTCTGAATTGAGAAAGCTGGTCAGATGACCAACAAAACATCTTCAAGAAAAATACAGCAAGTCCATTTTCCTTGATTTATTTTCTACAGATATGCAATCTTTTTAGTTAGCCAATAAATTGCATCTCCCTAAATCCAAACTTCTGCTTCTGAAGCTGATTTAAACTGGGATTTTAAGGTCAATAATCTATAAAACGTATGAGTTTTCCTTTAAAGGAGATCTTTTTGCCAAAATGTTTACCATTGACTTAAAGCAAAACATTTCTTCTGTTCTTCTTTCTCTAGAATTCAGTTCCTCCTGTAAAGCTTCTATTTCCCTTTCTCACTGCCCTGTCTTTCTTTCTCTTGTCTCTCCCTTCCACTTTTTCCTCCCTGCAGGTAGATAACTCCTCCCTGACGGGTGAATCTGAGCCCCAGACAAGGTCCCCTGACTGCACACATGACAACCCTCTGGAGACACGAAACATCACCTTCTTCTCCACCAACTGTGTAGAAGGTAAAACTTCACCGCACTCTGATGGAAGTTAAAGGATATCTAAACCTAAGAACAAAAAAGTGTATCTATCGCAGCTTACCAGTCCTTAGATGTGGTGCCTGCGTTAGTTTCCTTTTGCAGGCTAAGAACATTTTTAGCAAATTTTTTTTTTAGCATGTTGATCTTACCAGAAATCATGTGTTCTTGTCCCTTCCTGTGCACTGAAAGCGTAAATAATCTTACCCCCTACACGCTTAAATGGAGATGAAAAGAGGAAAGGCTATATGTAGTCCAAATCAAAAGAGCAGCCTGGGTGACAGCCATGGCTCTCTCCATAGATACAGTGGAGGAGTGAATGTAGCCACTCAAGTACAGGAAGTGTTTTAGGCAGGGCTGGATTTCCCACAAGACCTACTGAGGCCCGGCCTCTGGGCGGTAGGGGTGTAGAGTCTCCCGACGCCATGCAATTCCGGGTGGGTAGCTGTTTTCTACATTTAGCCCTGCTTTGGGCAAGCAGGGCTAAGGGCTTGTTCACAGCAGATGCAGTGCGTTCTGGCCCGATTCTGGCCCGAACACACTGAATAGCATTGCGGCCGGCTCACCTTTTTCTGGGGCAGGGACATTATGCCTGCGGTCTGGTATGATCAAAATGCTGCAAGCACTATTTCGATCGCACCAGACCGCAGCCATAATGTGCCTTGCGATCCCGTGCGGCCAATCGCATTGTGGCCGGAGGGCGTGGCTACGGTGCCATTCACTTCAACGGCCCACCACGCCCCCTCCTGCCCCGCAAAAAAGTGAGCCGGCCGCAATGTGATGCAGTGCTTTCTGGCCAGAATCGGGGCGTAACGCACTGCATCTTGTGTGAACAAGCCCTTAGCCCAGGGCTAAATGTAGAAAACAGCTACCCACCCAGCGCCTGGAATTGCATGGCGTCCGGAGATTCTACACCCCTACCGCCCACAGGCCGGGCCTCAGTTGGTCTTGTGGGAAATTGAGTGGCTACATTCACTCCTCCACCCACAAAAAAAGTGAGCGGGCTGCAATGCGAGGCAGTGCGTTCTGGCCAGAATCGCGCCGGAACGCACTGCATCTGTTGTGAACGGGCCCTAAATGTAGAGCAGGGAAGCCGCTGGTTCATGTACAAGTGATCTCGGCGATGTCGCCAAGATCACTTGTAATAAGCCTGCAGGTCCATCCTCCGCCCACCGCACCGTGTATCCCTCTCCTCGCAGGAGATCTTCAGGCTCCGTTAGCTCCTGTGTCATAGCAATAAAGTTAAGTAGAAAAAAAAATGTCTATAAAATAATTAAACAAATATGAATTTAAAAAAATAATAGGAAATAATAATTAAAATAAAAAGGTGATTAAAAAGTAACAAATTAGAAGAAAAAAAATATATTAAAAAAATAAATACAAAATAATAAGATTCAAAAAATTAAAAGTAAAAAAATAATAAGATAAAAAATTCAAAAAAAGAAAAAAGTAAAAGATAAGATAAATAAAAATTTTAAACATTTAAAAAAAAAAAATTTTTTAACTAACCCTGCCGCCCCTGCCATCTGGTTCCCATTCTCCATTGGGGTGTGGGGGGTTGGCAGGGAGGGGGCGCATTGAGGAACCTGGCCGTGGGGCAGCAGAGAGAGTAAATCCAGTATTGGTTTTAGGGACAGGATTACCAGGAGAAAATAAAGAAAAAAAAGCCAGAAAAAGTAAAACAAAACAGCCACCTTAATCAAGGACTTGACCTCATCTATATGATGCATTATATACATTTTTTTTATTTTTGGGCTTTAAATATGCTTTAATGATTGTGGTCAGCTTTGGCCATAGGTATAGTTCAAGAGGGCCCATAATACACAGACATTAGTTTCCCTCTAACCCTGTTATGGAATATAATGTGGTAGATGTAAATATATAAGTGCCTAGGGCCTGTGCCTACAGATTATAAACTTTTCTAAGGCTCCAATCTGTTTAGCTGCCCTTCACCTTTAGTAGACCCAACGCTCCCCTAGTGATTGTTGGGGATATAAACCTACCTCCAACAATTGCAGCTCCTTCTACACTTAAGCTGGCTCTGTTGAGGAATAATGACTATATCAATAAAGAATAGTTGTGAACTGGTCTACATTAGAGTTTCTACAGAACCCACAAATAGAAGTGCCACGTTCCTCTCAGTGTCAGCACACACCTATAAAAACCTAAACAAGTTGGTGGTTACTGGTCTCCAGTGCCGTTCTCAATGTCCCCCACTGCAGTTCTTAATCATTGTTAAATGTTAAGTATCTGAAATCTGGAAACACGTTGCTAGCCTTCATAATCCAAAAGATGTAGAAGTCCCAACATGCATGACCAGTTGTCCCATGTTGACCAAATTAGATAGCAATATGTATATCCACAAAGCATAAAAGAGATATAATAGCTTTACGGTTTTTATTACCTTTCAGGGACGGCCCGTGGAGTGGTCGTCGCCACAGGGGACAGAACCGTGATGGGTCGTATTGCCACCCTAGCTTCTGGTTTGGAAGTTGGAAAGACCCCCATTGCTAAGGAAATTGAGCACTTTATCCAAATCATCACTGGTGTGGCCGTGTTCCTGGGCATCAGTTTCTTCATCCTTTCACTCATCCTGGGTTACTCTTGGCTGGAGGCCGTCATCTTCCTTATTGGAATCATTGTGGCCAACGTACCAGAGGGACTTTTGGCCACTGTCACTGTGAGTAATAAAGACTTGTTACCTTTACAGGTTTACCAAAGCGTCTCGGTTTGTCCAAGCTGCAAATTAATGGATTTAATATAAAATCACTATATATATATATA